GCCGTAGTAAGACAGAGTCCACGTGTGTGAATGAGAGGGAGGAGGTGGAACAGTGAGGCTACAAGGAGCAGAGGTCACAAAGGTGCAGGACTTCAAGGACTTGGGGTCCACGGTCCAGGAACATGGGGAGTGTGGTAAAGAGGTGAAGAAGAGAGTCCAGGCAGGATGGAGTTATGGAGGAAAGTTTCAGGAGTGATTTGTGATGAAAGGGTGTCAGCAAAGGTCAAAGTTTACAAGACAGTGGTGAGACCAGCTATGTTGTATGGTCTGGAGACAGAGACATGGACAAAAAGACAGGAAACAGAACTGGAAGTGGCAGAAATGAAGATGCTGAGGTTCTCCTTAGGAGAGACAAGGATGGAGAAGATCAGGAATGAGATCATCAGAGGTACAGCACAGGTTGAACAACTGGGAGATAAAGTTAGAGAGGACACACTGAGATGGTTTGGACATGTCCAGAGGAGGGACAGTGGTTTTGACATTTCTAGAGGAGGGACAGTGATTTGGACATGTCCAGAGGAGGGACAGTGGTTTGGACATGTCCAGAGGAGGGACAGTGGTTTGGACATTTCTAGAGGAGGGACAGTGGTTTGGACATGTCCAGAGGAGGGACAGTGGTTTGGACATTTCTAGAGGAGGGACAGTGGGTATATTGGTAGAAGGATGTTAGAAATGCAACATGTCAGAAATGTCAGAAATGCATGTCAGAATGCATGTCAGAAAAAAGACAAAGAGGAGATATATGGATGCAGTTAGAGAGGACATGGAGGCTGTTGGAGTGACAACAGAGGATGCAGAGAACAGAGTGAGATGGAGGAGGATGACTCGCTGTGGTGACCCCTGAAGAGGGAAAAGCCAAAAGAAGAAGACTGTATGGAAGGCAGGGGACACCTAGGACAGGTCTCCAGTCCATCACAGGGACACTTGAGACCTGTCCAGGGTGTCCCCCACCTCACATACAGTGATGCTGTATATGGGCAACAATGACTCAAAAATGAAGAAGCGGTTAAAGATTTTGGATGGATGGATGGTGTAGGGTAACATATATCTGTGATATATTATCCATAAATTAAACGGATTCATTCATTTTTCTGGACTGAATAATATCGTGCATTGAAATTAATTAAATGTAACGTGAGACGTTAATTTTCTTTGACCCATCAAACGAATGCGGTCATTTATTAACAGAATCAAAGTTTAACATCAAACATTTACATTAATTTGGCAAATTGATTTCAACAACAACATAATTAATTAGCAAGCTTTCAAAGACCATACGGCCATGGTATCTGGGTTCAAGCTTTACAACAGACATTTCTGAAAATATCTGGATTAATTTGCTGGCAGGATAGAAGAGTTTTAAAGATGGAAATGAAGTTTAAGTTGAGAGAGATGGGTGAGGGAATTTGTCTGTTATAACCAGAACAACAAGCTCCTTCTGGACCCAGCTTAACCAACGGTACACTTTGCGGTTGAAGATAGACTCTTTTACCTTGGCAGAGGATAATTCCGACTTCGGTGTAGAGTTGCCTTCAAAAGCTCTCCAGCGTCTCCGTAAGGATAGTAGGGAACCGTTCGGAGTCGTGAGATCATCCCAGAACAGACATTTCATAGTTCCTCTGAACTTCTCCCGTTCAGCCTAGTTGCTTTTTCTCCAGCATTCTGAATTCCAGCATTCTGAACTCTGCTGCTCTCGGAACTAACTCACAGCATTCTCTCAGCGTTCTTCTTCGTTCTCCACTGGCGTTCTGCTTTGAACTAGGAAGTGTTGAACCCTTTAAGGAGTTCTGTTTCCGGTTCATTTTGAGAACTTCCTGATTGGTCGATCGACCGAACAGGGGTGTGTTTTAGTGATGTAAGAGGTTATTAAAAGTCAAGGAAAAAGATTAAGTTTGTTTAAGAACAGACAGAAAATGTTTTTGAAGAACCCAGACTTCGTGGAGTCAATTCTCTAATATCTTTCTGTAAAAGTTAAACATGACATTTCTTTCCAGTAAACTTACAGTTGACCGAAACTTGACCTTTGACCAACTTACATTTGCTCATTTCAGACAGAAGATCAAGAAAAATGAATAATTACTCCGTAACACATTCTAACTTGATTTCTACTTTGAATGAGGATTAAAAATCACTAATACTGTTTCACAGTTGATTTAAAATGAGTAGTTCACTTCAACATTTGAAAATGGTTTGAACTAAACACACTTTGATTATCAAAACATTTGTAAAATAGTAATGATAATAGAAAAAGAGAGTGTTCTTTCAATTGATCAGTGCAGGACACTTAGGAAGTCTTCTGGATGGACTTGATTTTGTGTTTCTGGACTCAAATCAATGAAATACAGTTCTTGTCCCAGGAAGGCCCTCAAGGCCAGATTTTGACCTGAGGCTTAGTTCACTACAATGGATGGATGGACAGATGGATGATGATAGATGGTGGAAGGCTGGCTGGCTGAATGGATGGATGGAGGGGTGGATGGATGGATGGGTGGATGGATGGATGGATGGATGGATGGTGGATGGTGGATGGATTGATGGATCGATGGATGACCATAGATGGTGGATGTATGGGTGGATGTATGGGTGGATGTATGGATCGATGGGTGGATGGATGGGTGGATGGATGGGTAGATGAATTGATGGATAACAATAGATTGTGGATGTATGAGTGAATGGATGATGGATGGGTGGATGGATGGAAGGATGGATAGGTGGATGGATTGATGGATGACAATAGATGGTGGATGTATGGGTGGATGGATGTATGGGTGGATGGATGTATGGATATATGAATGGATCGATGGATGACAATAGATGGTGGATGTATGGGAGAAGGGATGGATGTATGGGTGGATGGATGTATGGATGGGTGGATGGATCAATGGATGACAATAGATGGTGGATGTATGGGTGGATGTCTGCGGTGGAAGTGGTCTCCAGCTACAAGTACTTGGGTGTGCACCTGAACAACAACCTCAGCTGGAGCACCAACACCACCAGCCTGATGAAGAAAGCTCATCAGAGACTCTACTTCCTCAGGCGGCTGAGGCGAGCTGGTCTGGGAAGCTCAGTCCTCACCTCCTTCTACAGGTGTGCAGTGGAGAGCATCCTGTGCTCCAGCATCAACGTGTGGCATGGAGGCTGCACAGCTGCAGAAAGAAAAGCTTTGCAGAGAGTGGTGAAGGCTGCACAGAAGATGTTGGAGTCAGTCTCCCCACCATCACAGACATCTACACCTCCAGATGCAGGAAGAGGGCCACCTGCATCATGAAGGACCACACTCACCCAGCACACACACTTTTTGCCCCGCTCCCCTCAGGAAGGAGGTTAAGGAGCATTAAGTGTAGAACC